GATTAATCAAAGTTATGGAGTTGTCCAAACTAATTTCCTATGCAATCATGTGGTTTTCTCATGATAAATATTGAGCAATAGTATGATTCTATGAGATACCAAGTAAAAGAGTTATCGATTGATTTCAAACAGATATATATATGCAATAGAATTGCCAAGTTTTCTGCTTGTTAATACTGTTATTTCTGTAGGCAATAGCGATATGTAGCTTTTTTACCTATCGATGACGATTCAAATGATATACAAACGTTGAAGAAAGCTTCTTTTGTAAAAGATTTGATACATTCAAAAAAAGGATAGTGTGACAGCGTCTATATCCCAGCCTAACGCATTGTACTAAGAGAGACAAGAAGGAAAAACTATTCTAAAAATTACAAAGATAGACTCAACTTTGAGATGCTGAATGCAAATAAAATAGCTTCAGAAAATTCTAATAAATGTAAGAATATGTTTTAGTGTTTATTTCTGAGCTTTTATTTGGTGTTATCCATCGTAGTTATCTCAATCGACTTCTTCTCAGATAAATGTGCATTCTTCATTGGAGGAAAGTTTAATAGTAAAAACATGAAAGTTAACCTAGCTTCAACAATATTTCTGTATCTAACTCTGATATTTTTCTGATGATTGTTCAAGATGATGTCAATAGGTAACTCGAACTATAGATGTGAGTGTTACTTTTCATTTTTTTTGACATCAACAGCATAGTTTCGAGATATGTGCCATCATATTTGGAAACCAAAACTTCAATGAAAGCATTTTTCGAGCGATGACAGGTATAGGCCGAGAGTAAAAACGACTAGTGTCATATCTCATTTATACTTGTATAATGGCTAGATAAATATGTGGTGAACCCGTCATAAGTCTGATATAAAGGAGAACACATCCTAAATTAAATGCATTTAATAATTACGAAAATATTATACACGTAAAGATACACAATGCAAAAAGTCACTTCTCAAGTCATTGCATCTTCTGATAGTGACTCGCGATACTACAATTTATTTATTTATTTGATAAGTACATATTCTAGAACGTCTCTGAGTTTTAAAGTGTTAACAGATACCGGTTTAAACTACCACAATAAGTTTCAGAAAAAGAATTTGCTGTCTTTGCGTTTGGAAATAATGCTTTTAATAGGTGTTCTCGAATGATTAAAAGTTTTAATATCATATTTGGTTAATCTTTAAAAACCACTAGACTGTAACAAGCTTGAAGCATTCGTGCTTTTGTTAAGCTTTACCAGACATGTTAGACTTTTAGATATTAATCTTTACGGAGGATTTCGGGTCTTCAAAAGAATCGTATTTTCAACCTTTGAACTGATACTTTGAAGAAACAATTTTTTTGAAACATGTATTGGGTTAGCAAGAAAGTTTTGCGTCTTTTTTTATTATCTTAACACATTGCTGTAACTTTTTTATTTGATAAGCTATCGACTTGATTTAAGTGCCAATGGAAAGAATATTGTCTCGTGAGTAGTTATTTTATTCTTTTGGTTGGGTTTCATACTATTCCGATTACAATTTGTGATGTAATGACTATGATGTCATATGACCATGAGGTCACGTGGGTATGGGGTCACGTGACTACTACTTGTTCAGTGTTGGAGTACATTCTGGAACTTTCTATGGTTTCTATTCCTCTTTCGTGGATGGGTTCTTGCTTAATGTTCTGGAATGTTCTATTTTCAACACTATATATATAGGCTGTTCGCTGTTACTCGTTCATTCTTTTCTCAGTTGTACAGTTAGATCGTTAGTTTCCACATGTGAATAAACAAGCTCCTCAACTCGTGATTTCTGTTTCATATCGGTCTCGGCCTGAAGACGTGACACCAGTTGCTTTGAATTATATAGATGCACAAAAGCTTCACATTCGACACTGTATGTTGTTTGAATTCATCAGAGGACTCTCAGGAGCGGCAGCAGAAAAAGAAATCTGTGAGGTGTACGGCGACGGCTCCACTACCAAATCCACTTGTAATCGCTGGTACGCCAGATTTCGTTCCGACGACAGGACCTTGACGGATCAACCACGTGAGGGACGCCCTTCGATCGTCAATGACGATGTCTTGGAAAGCCTGCTTGAGACGAACCCCCGGCAGACCACATGTGAACTTGCGAAGCAGCTAGGCTGTTCACACACCACAGTCGAAAATCATCTTCATGCGCTTGACAAGATCCAAAAGTATGGAAGTTAGGTGCCACACGAACTGTCCGCCAATGACAAGGTCCAGCAAGTTTCAGCTTGCGTTTCGTTTCTCTTCCGTCACCAAAAAAGCTCTTTTCTCGAGCGGATTGTCACCGGAGATCAGAAGTGGATCTTCTACATTAACCTTGGCCGCAAGAAACAGTGGTTGAACCCGTGGCAGAAGCCGTTGCCGGATGTCAAAGTGGATCTTCATCCGAAGAAGGTTCTCTTGTGTATCTGGTGGGACCGGGAGGGGGTACTTTACTACGAGCTTCTCGACAACGCTACCATCACCACCGAGGTCTACGCTCATCAACTACAGCATGTCCAGGAAGCACTGCTTGAAAAGCGTCCAACGCTGATCAATGGAAAGGGAATGATTTTGCTTCACAACAGCGCTCGGCCACACATTGCGAAGATAACGCGAGAAAAAATTCAGAAGTTGGGCTGGAGAGTTCTTCCTCATCCACCATTTTCCCAAGATCTGGCGCCATCGGATTACCATATATTCCGCTCTCTTCGGAACCATCTAGCTGAGAAACTCTTTGAACACTACGACACTCTCAATTCTGACCTCACCGCTTTTTTTGACTCAAAAGAGCCAGACTTTTATAAAAAAACGGGATCTACCAACTGCCGAAAAGGTGGGCCACTGTTATTGACAATAACGACGAATATATTATTGATTGAGGTTGTTTTGTTCTGTTGAAAAATACATTTTCTTGTTTAGTAAAAAAAAAAAGACGCAAAACTTTCTTGCCAACCCAATAAAACAATGATAAAGCGTTATCATCTCAACTCGAAAGAAATAAAAAGAAGTGATACTCTCGCAGACTAAACCAAACAATAAAAGATTATTCAAGACGTTTTTAGATTCAACCCAAAAAAAGCTTTGAAATGTTCTCCAGGAGGAACAAGGATTCAAAAAAGGTAAAAAATATTAGGATTAAGATCATCACCGAGACCATCAAGAAAGAAACTATCGGTATCGAATCAGGACTGAAACCGGAACAAAGTTTTTTTGGTTTCTTATACATCTAACCTGATAACAAATAGAAAAGACGTAGCACAACACCCTTGCAACCAATGGAAAATAAATTTCACTCGCCCATCGAATTAAAGTTTACATTTTCCACCTAAACAAGTTTCTTCTGTATACTTCATTGAAAAATTTGAGATGAATTGATGAATATATTTAATATACTGATAAGAGAGCACTGAATTAAATTTTCAACTGAAGGTAATTGATACAGAAACTTGATTCAGATGAATTTCGTATTTGGAACTCTATATTCATAGCGATCTACCTGACAAAATTTAGTACGATGAAATTATATTTATACGGTTTTGATGGTTTTCATTAGGACTTCGAACACTTTCTACAAATTTTAAAATTCTACAACTAACAATATTTAACGAAGCTTTAAAAAAGCTGCCACAATTGGATAAATATTAATTGATGTCTGGCATTTCACAGCACCCAAGAATCAGTCTACTCATTCAATCACTTCCTTCAAATTGTCTAGCAATATATTTTAGTGATTTTAGTCACGAATTGATTATTCATTAATTGTTAATACATCATGCGCATGAACTAATTGATTTTAAATGAATTTTACGATTAGTCTATTTCAATTAACTGAAACTCTTAATTCAAATGAATGCCAGCTGGTTGAACAATTTTAGTTCTATGAGCTGAACTCAACTATCATATGTTTTTAAATATCTTTAGTAAGTTAAATTTTGTGACAGAGAATATTCTTAGTTGTCTTGAATGAGAAATGTTTTTTCGGTCGATTTTCTCTTCTAACTAATTCTGATTCTAGGAATTAGAATTGAAAATGGTATAATTTCTATTTTAACAAATTCTATTTCTTCAATTTCTACAAAATTTGTTGAGATTGAAGAGAGAAGCACATTAACAACAAAGTATTTACCCATATAAACCGTAATCGAAGAAACATTCGGTAGTACTTCATCGAGTTGTTCAAGAAATATATTGGGTTGGTAAGAAATTTTTGTCGTTTTTTTTTTGAAAATTTTCTTTTTATTTTTTAATATCAAGAATACAACTATTGTCGGCGCCAGAATTAAATAGGGGTGGGTGTAGAACGAATATCTCGAGAACGACAGTAGCTAGCGACCTGCGGCTTTCACCAACTGAAAGAGTAGAAGTTGGGACGTCTTTTTCTCCGATAATATATAAGACAAAATCCTTTTAAAAATAATTATCTTCGAAAAACATGCAAAAGAATGCATGAAAGTGACCTTTTATCTAGATGAAATTTTGATTTTGCCCTTTGATTTAGACAGAGGGACTTGAGATCTATAGTTTAAGATACAATGCAAATGGTTCTCCTATTGCATTCTAACATTGAGCAAATGGAATCATGTATTTACATGCAAGAAATAATAGGGAATTTTACTGATTTTTTACTAAGTTTTCACACTTTTTCTGATAATAGCATGGATTTTCGATAAAAATGTAATGAAAAGTAAAAAAGCGCATTGTATCTTAAACTATAGATCTCAAGTCCCTCTGCCTAAATCAAAGGGCAAAATCAAAATTTCATCTAGATAAAAGGTCACTTTCATGCATTCTTTTGCATGTTTTTCAAAGATGATTACTTTTAAAAGGATTTTGTCTTATACATTATCGGAGAAATAGACGTCCCAACTTCTACTCTTTCAGTTGGTGAAAGCCACAGGTCGCTAGCTACTGCCATTCTCGAGATATTCGTTTTACACCCACCCCTATTTAATTCTGGCGTCGACAATAGTTGCGAACTTTTAAATGTAAGATATATCTTTTAGTCAATAAAAACTTTTTCTGTTTTGTATCGACCAAAATTTTCAGGCGAATACATTTCTTCAGCTCTAGCTGGTGGAATAATAAATGTACCAGCACATGTCGCACGCATTACATAACTCCATTCATATACACCAGGCCACAATGATGATCGAAATGCTTCAGCACGTTCATTTCTTAAGTTTTCATGATCAGTCCAACTAAAACTCGAATATGGTCGACATTCATGATAATTATCCTTTCTTTTTGACCTTGTTACGGTTAAATTTGAATCATCTGCCAATGTGCCTTTTAGTTTCGTATTTAATGCTTCACAACCAGCTGGTAAATAATCAACTAATGCTACATGGTATCGTCGTTGTGTTGTTATCATTGTTAATGTAACTTGGATTTTTTCTTGTAATTTGAATTTCCAAGTTCCGTTCGATTGTTTCTGAACATGTGACGGATCATCAATTGCTGTGTATGTTCGTTCAAGTTTAAAACCATAATTAACTGCATTTAGTTCCAGATTCGATGGAGCATAATTCATTGCAATGCGATAATATAATCGACCAGAACCATCTTTGTTCAAGATTAGATTCCTATCATTATTATTTATGTTAGATGATGATGATGATGGCGATATGATTGATTTCATAGGAATATTTATTGTGTGTGAATTTGTTGTTCGACCTTTATATTGATGCTGACCACAATAATCATTGTCAAGCCAAATATGAGCAACAAAATCTGGTGTATCTTCTTCTTTAACGTTAAAATATTTATCTAGTGCAATTAATACAAAGCAATTTTCTTGTGTTGATTTCCATGCACCTTTCACTTTATGCACTTGTAAACCTTTACATAATTTAGTACAAAGAGCGGAGTTTGGATCAATGCATAATAATGATTCTAATAAAATAGCATCTGTTCGTTGATTTGAATGTAACATAACTGATTGACCATCATCACCATATGATGTAATAAAATTAGCTGTTTCACTTGTTTCACTTACATTACCTTTGAGATATCTGTATATAATATCGATAATATCATTTTTATTATTGTTTTTATTTGTCGATAACGCTATTAATAACCAACCTAATGCTTCTAAACTAAGTTTATCAAATCCACTTTGTTGAAATAATTTTAAAGATTGATCAGCAACATTTTGACGATATTTCGTTCGTACGTATAATGCATAACTCATCAAACTAAATCGAGTTCTTTCAGACCAATATTTACTGTATGATAATTGATCAATTTCAGATTCAATGTTTTCAAGGTATTTGAGCGATTTTTTCACCATGTTCACATCAACATGAAATACCTTTAAAGTAATTAAATATGTTTTATATGTAAAAGATTTTTATAGTACAGTATTAAGCAGATTTCTAAACTAAACAGAATCTTCTCGAACTTGAAATATAGGTTTTTTCTACACAACTACTACATATTCCTCATCTGTGTCATCGCTTACAGAATAAAACTCTTACCCTTTTATTAACAATGACAGCCAAGCAATGTGCAACATGTATACTCATATATGGATCAGCATGAGAATTATTTTGATTTGTCCAATAACCAAATCCACCATTTGAATACTGACGACTCTTTAATAGGTTTATATCTGATTCTAATCTAGTTTTCAATACGGATATGTCAGGTAATTCTTTACAACGAAATGCCTCTATAACATTCCACAATGATTGTATACCTAATAATCTTGAACTTAATTGTTCTGTACATTCATATGGATATGTATAGAGTGAGACAATTGCATCAGTTAATGATGCTAATGCTGTTGAACTTGTTGTTATTGATACTTCACCAAACTGTGGAAGAGCATTGTTTGGTGTTTTTATTGGTTGTAAAACAATTTCTTTAGATACATCACCATATGTTGCAAATGCTTCAGACGTTGCTGGTGTAAATACAGGTAGACTTAGTTCAACTGCATCACCAAATGATGCATATGTTTCATTGTTAGCAGTGATGATTATGAACTGAAATCGAGCTGTACCAGAATGAATTGTTGTTACAGGAAATGTAAGAGCAGCACGTTTATTTGGTTGTAATACAATTGAATAACCAATTGTTTGTTCATTTGTTTGTGATGTTAATAATTTAGCATTGATTGCTCTCAAACCAGCATGTAATAATAATGATAAATCGGTTTGATTTTGCAAAATAACTGAGAAGTAAGCTGTATCTCCATAATTAAGGAACCTCGGTGGTGAAGGTCGAATCATAATTGGTAATTGTACGGTTAATGACATTTCACCTGAACCATATTGTTTATCAGTTGCGACTATCGCCCATACACGATAGCGTGTTAGACTATCAGCCAGTTTGACTTCAACTGAAACTCGTCCTGATGAGTCAGTGATTGATGAGGGTGTCCAACATGCGACTGGACTGAAGTTTGATCGAACGGCTATTTTTTGCTGAGCGCCAGGAGGAATCGACTTGAGCATACGGTACAATTCATAATCATCGCCACCACCGCCACCGCCACCGCCACCGCCACCGCCACCACCACCACCACCACCGTAACGATCATCTAAATAGCGAGCTCGTATATCTTTTTTACGTTGTTCAATATCTTGTGCATTCAATAACAAACAACGATCTCTACTATGGTATTCTGTGATATTTTCTGATCGTTTAGGATAAAAGATATCTAATGGAGTGTCTATTTCATGACCGATTAAGGATAAGATTGCTTCGTCAACAACGATTAAACAAACTTCTGCATTGTCTACAGGTGATTTATCTACATATTGTGTAACATTAACATCCATATGAATAGTTGATGATGGTGTATATGATTTATTTGTTTCCTTCGTATTAATTAAAACATTCAATTTATAAATATCTTTTGATACTTCTAATGATGTTGAACCAGTAGCAATTGCTGGACGATGTAGGAAATCACTCATTTCCGTCTCTCTTGGAGTTGAGCCTGTTAGTTCAGCGTAGACTGTGAAGTTTGGTACCCAATCTTTTGATATTCTAAATGCAAGAGTTGTTGAATCTTTTTCAGATTCTATTTGAAAATGTATTGGTTGTGAGACTTGACCGTCACAATCGAGTATGAGTAGACCATTAGCTGGACTAAACGGTGCTAAGATTAGTAATTCACATAAGTCATTCGGTTGATAAGTTTTTGCATTTGGTACAATTGTGACTCTATCAGTTGGAATATAATCTACTTTTCGTTCTTCTACTTCTTCTTGTTCATAACCACCAGAAACATAAAAATTTTCATAGTAACTCATAGCTAATCGTCCTTGTTCATCTTTGACACTGTATGATATTTTGTATCAACCCCCTAGTACGAGATATAAATTATATATTATGAAAAAAAGCACATTGATCATTTTTTTAATTGAGAATTACATTAAGCTTCTTAGTGACTATTGATAAACGAACACTATCTATGTACTTGCTTGGCAGCTCATCTCTACTCTTGTGCAAACCTGTACGATGATTGTCTGCATTAAGTAGTTAGTCGACAACAAAAACAAACCTAAGACTACCATCTATGTTGTAGTGTATAAATCAATCCTAATATCTATGATTAATTTAATTATGAAATGTGCCTCCAATGACACTAGTATTCATCCTCGCATTCTCAAAAGATTTACGAATGAACTCATGGATCAGAGCAATCAACTATTTAAATGTTGACAACATGAAATAATATCTGTTACGTTTTCGTCTACACTCATGAAAATGATAGCAGAAATTTCTCTCGAATTTTCGAACTAAAACATGTACGCTTATTTTTCCTTTCTGTTTCTATCAAATTTAGAAACGTTTATTAAAGTGTCATTCATAGTCAAAATGGAAAATCTTACTCAGATGAAATTTAACTTGAGTTTTTGTTCTTACGAATTCTATATTTTACCTATTTTTGGTGTAAAATCGAGATTAACTACATCTTTATTTGAACTGAAAACTGTTAATCTTTGTTCATCTGTGACGTCTTCAAATATTGTTAAACCATTTTGATTTTCTTTTTTTTCCTTGCCATGTCCAATTATCTCACACTGAACTAAAACGTTATCGACTAGATTTCCATCAATGTCTGTTACGATAACTTTTGTTTGCACCGGTTCATCTTTCTTTCCATAATTCTTTACGAATTGAAATCCAACATAATATGTGCTTGGATGAATGAGAAAATTTGCTTGTGTTTCTTGTGTTTGAAAATTCAAATCAGTAATGGCTGCCAATGCATGAATAATTATTGGTCTTGGTTCTTGTTCAATACCGTGATAGGTAATTTTTATTTCATGTTGACCTTTATTATTTGTTTTACCCTGAAATTATACGAGCAGAGCCCATTTAAAAAACACATGTGAACCAAAAATTTCCAACGTCAACTGAACTACTGTAGTATCTGTTTATATTCATGAAACTTCCGATGATCTCCGAAAAATTCAACTGGTAAAATATAATATTTTTTAATTCTTTCATACCAGATGATTTGTACAGTTTTCGATTATTTATTAAAATAACTACGAAGTTGTCGTCTAATGATTTATAAATAGGTTTTACGAATAATTCTATATTTTTTACCTCTCGAACTATAATGTTATTGTTATAGTTTTATTACTAACAAGGGATGAAAAATAGATGGTGATCTACTAGAAGATCAACAGTACTTAGAGACATTTAGAAGAGTCGTAAGTTGTTGAAGAGTGTCCATCTTAGAAAAGTATACCTTTATCTATCTAATATTCCAGTTATAGCCAGTCGTGATTAAAAAATCCGTATGCATTTGTTTCTGCTAAAAATATGTTCTCCCATTTTCTATTATGTAGAACTTAAGAAAAACGTTGAAACCGATATTTGTCTACTTCTATCTGCAATTTTCAAGATATATTGGGTTTGTCAATTAACCACTGACAATCCACGATATCCAAACATAGGGTATCTATATTATTTTTAATGTAATTCGAAATTGCTCTCTCAAAATATGACTTGCTCTTTTATGCTTGAATTCAAATTATATTACTTGAAGATGTTTTTTTGGATATGATATGTTGGTTTCATCATCATCACCAGACCAGGAGAAGAATGATTGTCCTCTGCCAAATATATAGTCAGATCTTTTAGCTGGTATGAATGTTGTTGTTTTAGCTTGTACTGTCCACTTAACATTCGCATAACTTAAGTAGTCACCAGAAAATAATTTCCCTTGACAAGTAGCTATGACGTATTCATCAACGGTTGGATGACAAAAATGTGCAGTTGTTGATTGAATCATTGATGAAACTTGATACTCTGGTTTTCTGAACTCTTGAACATTAAAATAATGTTTTGTACTATTTTCGAAATTTGATAAACTGAACTTTACGCATCCATCACCTAATAATAGTAAAAATTCAAAATCAATTAATTCAACTTTAAATGTACAGACTTTCGCAAGAGTAACCTTTTAAAAAACAATGCATATAAACAACTGATTACAGAAATATTCATTTCTAATTTCTGAGAGACTGTGATTATTACGGTATTAGTAAATTTCTTTCGCCGCAGAAGTGTCATAATTCTGTCACCCAACGTAATCTTTGTAATGATAAAACTCTTAAAAATATGTCAGATGTCCGGTTACAAACTTCTACGCAATTATAATAGCGTGTACGATGGTCTAAGTAGATTGAGAATAACAGTATTCTCAAGCGTAGATTTCACTTGTGTATAACAAAACTAGACTAAGATGGAATCAAGAAACTGGCTGTAAGCATTTATGCAACTAGACAAGCTTGCTTGGTAAATTTGGAAAACGAATAATTAATCACAAAGATGTGCTCTTGATAATTGCTTAAGCTAATGACCAACAAAAGTTTAAAAAATGCAGCTCGTTTTTCGATTCATTGCAATTTACACACACACACCCCAGAAAGTAAAGATAAAAATACAATTTGTAATATATGAGAACAGCTATATCTAAAGATTCTGAATGATTAGATTTTAATGAAATCTAAATTTTTGTTAAAATATATTCTAAGATAACCTTTATCTCAATGTTATCGATGATATTATCCTATGTTCAAATATCTAATTGGTGGAAATTTTCAACTAAACAATAATATTCACTTTGATAATAACTTCTTAGAAACCTAAAACATAATATTTATTTGGAAAAAATATTTTACTATCGAGTTATCTGACAAGCTTTCGAATATAGATATGAAAACAATAATCAAATTTGACTTTAAAGTATAATTGTATGTTTCTCACGAATAAGAATATCTAGGATTTTCATAGAGTGTTTTGAAGATCTCTCAAAAAACTTGAAAAATAATCATAAAATCATGTCTTGATAAAATAAATTGATCCATTAATTCTATAGTTAAAAAAATTTGAAGATCTTCAGCAATATGACATGATAAAAGCGAGAATTGTTCTGTCTGATCTGAAAATGATTGAAGTTTTAAAGAAACTATTATGACGACGTATAAATTCTAAACTAAGTAATTACAAATATTTCCTTGTGTCTTATATTTTGCACTTTTAACAAAGATATCTACCACGCGAAATTTTAACTAAAATTATAACCATACTATTTGTCCACTAGCCAAAACAATATCAGAGAGTATGTAACTCAGTATTCTCTATAAAATGGGCGGACATTGATTGTAAACATGGCAGATTTGCATTTCCTTAAGCCTTCAAAAGATAGTAAAGAAAAATTAAATGAAAAGACTTTACTCGCATCAGAAAGGTTCTAATGAAATTCTCGTTACTCAAAAACCAGATCGTTCGAATACCAAATATAATATTTGACATTGTTCTGACCGATGCTCTTGAGTATGTTACTAGTCTAGCTGACATATATATGCTAAAGTGAGCGTATATTGCATGCGTAAGGTGTATGAAGGCTCACGAGGGATAAGTAACAAATACGAATATACAGCTTTACCTAAGTTAACATTATCAGGTAATGTAAATATGACATCAAATGCACCATATTTATTCAATTCCACTTTTGACTGTTGAAGTTGTTGGTGTTGAGAATCATAAATCGTGTAGTTGATTACATCTTGACTATAAGTAGGTACTTTTGCTTCACCTTCTTGTTTTAATAATCGAACATAACCTTTTATATGCAAATTTTCCTTTGGTCTATATAAACCACGATCATTAAACACATGCCAGACGTAAACATCATCATCTGTTTCATTAGGAGAGATATTTACTTCCATACATTGATCGTCATCTTTTTCTACGACTAATATTTCTTTTTCTCCGCTTTCCACTTGTCTTCTTTCATGATTCTCTACCATGCACCTTTCAATAGTACATAATCCTTGTTTATTTGTTATTTTTTTCTGATTCAATATTGAAACAGTTGCTTGACTGATAGGTGCACCAGTTATTAAATTAGTAACCCATGCAGTTACTGTGCCGTTCTTATCTATAATCAAAAACTGTTAGTATTATTCCGGTGGTAGGGCGTGAAATATGGGTGCCATGGAAAAGTGAATATACTCGTACTCATATTTACGTACTTTCTTGTTTCCTCATTTAAGAAAAACCGAACGCAAATAATTGGTAGAAGAAATATTTCAGTCATTGTCAACCAATGTTCAATAGAATTTCCAAGAAGCTAATGTGATCGAAGGAGTTGGAAAATATTTTCGATTAAGTACGTCGATGAAAGCTTCGATATCTTGACCACGTTAGTACATAATGAAAGAATATTTATGATGCATGTGAAGTTATTTCTTTAGGAGATATACTCTTACAAAGGACTGTTCATATGCAGATCGGTTAATGACAAGAAGAAATTTAAGAAAACGTCGCTGTATCAATCTATACTGTACACATAGTCTAAATGAATTATTGAATATAATGCTGCTGTTGTTTTTTGAATTAATTAATATTGAGAGTTAGAATCTACTTAAAAAATAATTGAGAACAAAATTTTCTTATGTTTAATTATATCTAAATTTTAATTTAGTCCCCGAGTGATGTGATGCATACTACAGACTGCGATCAATCTTAAGTTATGTTTGCTATTTCTAATTAAATCAATTGTTTGTAGCGAAAACAAATTAGCTATTTTTGTTTTAAAATGGGATTACTTGAGGAAGCAAATACATCGACTGCCAGTCGTGTGCATTGTAACCAGACTGATATACTTCGGCCATCTCCCCAATAGCTATGTTCGCATTCACGGTATGCTTTTTTGGTTGGTTTGATGAATATAAGTAATTGACCTACTCCGGAAGATTTTGTGAAATACTCCTTTAAAGGAATTCTTATCTCTTTCGGTTCATTTCGTTGACACTCTGTTTGTATAACGTCGTTTTGTAACTCTTCACCAGGCAAATCATTAAAAGATTCTTGTTCTTCGCCTTTCTCTTCGTTTTTATCTTCGTCTTCGTCTTTAATAAAACTTGCCCTCGGTGATAGTAGGTTTGACTGATAATGTTCTGGTTTCACTCGATTAATACGAATTATTAATTCTGAATAGTTGAAAACTATAAACGAATAGTATGGCTCATCTAATAGATCAGGATCCATCGTAATTAAACCTGAAACAAAAATTATCTTATTGACAATATTTATCTTTTTCTTAAATTTCTTCTTTATATTATTGGTTTCTTGCTTTACTATACCTGATTCACCTGATAAAGCTCCAAACAATCGCGAATTTGAATCATTTACATGAAATTGAATTGGTTGATCGAAATGGTCTTCTTCTAATGCTTGACCATGAATATCTTTCAATATTCCTAGTTGTATAAACAATGAATAGACAGTATTTGGTTGAGAATTATTACGTATTATTATTTCTCGATCATGGTATTCTCTCTGTTCAATACCTAAAAGAAATCATCTCTTTAAGATTGGTTTTATTTTTTATTGAGCTTTAGTCATTAAGACGAAGTAATAAGAAAATATGTTATGAAACAAGTTTCGTCTATACTCACTTAAAATAGCGACTTCCGGCTCGAATTTAAATATGAATTTTTTAATTGTTGAATGATCTAAGGAATTATTGAATGTAAGTGACCAATTTTCACCAGGAACAGCAGTTTTCTGATACGTATTGTTTATATTTGGAAGCCAATCAATTATTTTCAAAGGTTCATAAGTATGGAAGTCAGCCGACCACTCTGATTTTGTCTTTAGTGGCCCCTCTGCTGATGGACAATCTTCAGGTACTTGAATTGTATATTGTGTTGCCTTCAATAATTCATTTTTAAATGTAAATGCAATATATTGCTGACGGTTTCCTTCGTTTCCATTCATTAATGATTTAAATTCAGTTTTTGCTGTTTCTTCATCTAGTAGTTCTAATTCGACAGTTTGTATAGTATGCTCATCATCACGTACTACGCAAATATGCTGGAAAATTTCATTTATATTAATTTTTTGATTAAATAGAAGAAAACATTTGGGTTTTAACGTTGAAACTGTTCCATGTGGCAAGAATTGAAGAACTTTTAATGTTTTTGTCGAGAATTCGAATAAAAATTCATCTTCTAACTTTCCTAAAAATCAAATTTCGCATTTGAAAGAATTAGAATCTAGAATAAAATCTGAAGTCGTTGCGAGTAAAAGTTCTGTTCGCTGCTCCATTTTACAAATAGGACTTTCTTCTATTAGATTCAAGAAAAGAAAAAATTGTGAGCTTTTCCAAGCTTAAAAGAAAACAACCGAAAAAAAACTCATAAGCTCTTAGAAGGAGAGCGTAAAATATTCGAGATGTTCAAAATCTGTATTTCAAATCTTCATCACCATACAATATGTTCAACTCAAATGAAAAACCATTTCTTGAAAAGAGTAGAACTATCATTAGGTGATTCGCTAAAGCGTCATCTATATTCTATTTCTTTTTGCATTCATTGCCGTTATCTACTATTAAATATGCATGGTAACTTCTTTGTTTTTGAATGAACTTACCTCCCACTGCTGACATGCAAAGTTCTTTGTTGACTCTTAGTATATACTTTGTTGAATATGGTAAACGATGGTTTGCTTCAAACTGAACCGTTTTCGTATCTATCCATCTCCACCGACCTTCTGTTTTTGGTGTTAACGATATCCCTAGACCTTCTGGATTCATCTGTTCATCTAATGATGCAATAGCGATCATGGGTTGATTAAATGTCAATGTAATAGTCGATAATACATGATCAATTTCTTCTTTATCAGGTGAGTATCTTTCAATAATCAGTGGACCTGCTTCTGTTTTAACTAATTGTTTTAATTCTTCAACATTAATATTAAAATCTTCTTTACGATCGGATAGAGGAGGTGGGAATGGTGTTTGTATCACTGTACTTGTTTTCGGTGGTTTGATTGTTACTTCACGTTTAAAAAACTCTTGATCATCTAATGATTCTGCAACTAATTCCGAACTAACTTGAGAGAATAAATGGTGTAATTGATCTGGAGTTAAGTTTTGCTGTTGTAAATCATCATGTAATGATGTCGCTTCAACATCGGTCTCGATTTCATTATCGATTTCATCTGCTTCATAAACATTAAAATCAAACTGATATGATTCAAACTGTTCATGCTCGAATATTCGATTTCGTTTTGGCCGCATTCTTTTTCTGATATTTCATTAATATGCCAAAAATATAGTCAAAAGAGAATGCAATCTAAAAAGGAATTAGCATATATATGTAAAACAGATGAATATTACTGAAATATAGGGCTCGATTTAAAGATCTAGATAACTTTAGACATACATCATTCTACAACTATAGGTTCAATTGATTTGCAAGCAACTTAACCAAAGAATACAGTACTAGTATAGAACCGTATAACACATTCGTATTTATGAACATAAATGCCATCTTGCATGTCCCGTTTGCTTACTCTCAAGCCCGTCTATGAATTATAGCGAAAACGTTAACCTTTATTAGAGTACATACTGTAAATTCGAATATAACAAACAATGATTTTTTTTTCCTGCAAAACAACTGACAAGAGAAAATTCATAATTAGTCATTACCTATTTTGCTCACATTCATCGGATATGCATAGAACAGTTATTATTTTTAAACTTTGATAGGAGTTTCAGTGTTCTTATCACATTCTTACTGACATCTTTATCACGAGTGTTGCAATGATTCCGAGGGAAATTTACTTGTGTCTACAATGGAAAAAACTTTTCCTATGACCTAGTCGTCGACCTTCTTGCCTACTGGCTATCTTCCTACCAGACTATGGGTGTGGGTGTGGGTATAATATTTTATTTCCTTGCAAACATTGCGACATCCACATCCATCACTGTACTTTCTTGTTGCATCGTCAAAAACATACAAATGTATGCGTCGTAAAATTGCTCAAACTTTATTGTGAAACAAAACCTCAATTTTATCGTGATTCATTGGATTTTTTATGAAGTTCTAGAAGACTGTTTTTGTTACTCTATTTGTTTGTGTAATAAATCCTACACTTTTCAGATGAGAAAAAATTTTAAAAACGCATAAGAATGCAAGCGTACTTACTACATCTATATCATATTCGGTCCTGGCCTCAAATCAAGCTGATCAGATTGATTCGCACCTGAATTTTAAAGGTCGCATCTATGTAGAGCATTAATATAGAGCTCTTTACAAAATTTTGGTGCACTTTGTCAAACACTACGAATGGGCTATTGACTGACAGGCCACCTTTAACTTACAAATAATGACATTTAGCAATCCAGTTCATTTGGATGTGAATGTAAATAGGAGTAACTTTAATTTTAAATTCTTCGAGAATCTTCTAGTATCCACCTAAATTGACCACTTCGTAATGGACCAGTTAAGCAATCTAACAACTTCACATAATTATCAGACTAGATGGCGCATACAGTTACATCCATATACATGTGTAGGTAAAAAGCATTTGAAGAGAAAATTTAAAACGATTTCAATTTGCTTTCTCAAAAAAATTTTTTCACTTCCACAACAAAAACTCCTCACATCAACGTATCTTACCACTGCACGTCTTTCTCATGTTTCAGTCATCTAAATTTTCAGCACACTCTTTTACTACTCTTATGAATGCCGATGGCATTTTGAAATCATTTCAACTAGACTGCCGTGTAACCACACCACAAAAGAAAAAAAACATTATGTTGCAATAACAAAAAAAACCATTCTGACTGAATTTATTATAATCATGAAGAAAAAAAGAGAAAGCAACACATGGTAACGATAAAAAATTGTTTGAAATGAGTAAGCATAAAACTACACATAATAAGAATTAGAGAAACATTATATTGCATCAATCGAAGCAATTTGAACAAATTAGTCACGTATCAATGAAAGAGAAGAAGTGTTTGCCACAAGACGCGACACAAACACAATGAGTGGTGACAAGAGATTTGCACGTCGTCAATCACTTCCTTATCTCGTTGTCTTGTTACTTGGTTGCTATAACTTACCGCTAAACTCACACCTGAGCTAACGAGGTTACGAAACTTATGTAATGACTCGTTGAAATTACGTTGTGGTTTGTGGCAACCACGATTCAAGAAAGTGTTTAATGATTTCTGAACATGTTGTGAGTTGTTAATAAAATATTCATGATGCATCCACCACCAGTGATTAAACCGACAAATGTGATCGTGCACTATAGCAAAGACAGTAGATTGTCTTCTTCAATTAGTAAAAGAAAAAACACATCCGAGAATCTTCAATCGCTGAGTAATCATTTACTCGAATGTTCAACAAACGAACGATTTGAAAACATCCTAAATGATTCAGGTTATTATGAGCAGTAATAAAAAGAACTATTTCATACCCTATTTGCAAAGCGGTCATCATATTTATTAAAATTGTCAAGAATCATATGAACGATGTCTCAAGGGGGTACGGAATGATGCCCGAGTTCGAAAGGTGGAATATAATTCGGACGACAAATCGGAAGAGAAAGTATCATTTTGGTGACAATATTGAACATGAGAGACATCTTTTATTGATGATGCGACTTGAAGAGTATAGTGTGTCTCCTCTTCCTTCGGAAAAATAGATAGAATACTGCTTTGCTAGTCTTCATCTGTGCACGACGAAATTTATAATATTTCAATTGTTGCTGAAACTGATAACAGAGAATACTTGAAAATATCAGATGTTGAACAACTACTTAATACTAGTGAGTATTCCATTTATAAATGCATATATGCGGTTTTTAACATAGTATCAACACTATTTCGATGTGTTTCCTGTTAAAAAAATCATACTCTAATTATTTTGAGCATCGAAAAGGCATGAAGAACAATCTGAGGTACGGGGGATGAAAACGATTTAATACATTTTTATAAAAAGTCTCCAATCAAAAATATATTTATTAGCATTAAACAAAGCGTATAAAACTATGGAAATCTTCAACAGACCCTATAATATTACGATTATAGGCAATTAACGAAACATGATTTCAAAAAGTGTTAAATCAATTTTTTTCATCAATTATTTTATTTATATAGAGGGTGTGGGTGTGTGGGCGTGAGTGTGTGTGTGGGTATGAATATACTAATAACGGGAACACTCACACCCACACCCGCTCCCACACCCACTCACGCCCACACCCACACCCACCCACACCCATACCAACACCTACGCCCTCACACCCACATCTACATCCACACGCACACATCCACACACCCACACCCATATTATCGAGTTACTTATGCATGCAAGAAAAAAACGTTTTTCTCCGACTATCGTTGATCTTATATTTGAATTTGTGGACTTCAGAGAAGACTTCAGAAAGAATTTTTGTAGAACTAAAATATCTTCACAGACTGTATAAATCTATTGAAATGTAGCTGCGAGCGTTTTTCTTTTCTTCACCTAAATCTCACACCCACATCCACCTGCCAAATATACTCTCTTTCTCCATGAATCTTTCGAACTGAGAAACATTTGAACGGTTAAATAAAGCTTCTATATAAATCTAGAAAAATTACAAACAAGAGATTAATAGAAAAATATAAAGTAAGAGATAAAAGCCTAACAAGTCTGCAAGAGAATATTCAAACTGTCAGTTCCATTATTTGCAACAGCAATATCTAGCTTTCTGTCATTGTTGAAGTCCTCAACGACAATGGCGAATGGATTGGATCCGTACTCCAACGGAAATAGGATAATACTTGCAAATGAGCCGTTACCGTATCCAAGAAATACACCTAGACTGTTGTCGTCATGATTTGCGATGATGATGTCTTGTATAGTATCGTTGTTAATATCATCAACAGCTAAAGAATATCGGGACGAGTACGAACTTGTTGAATAGGTCATTACATTTCCAAAAGAACCATTGCCATATCCAAGCAAAACACCAACCTTATCCGATTCACAACTAACAAGGGCGATATCTAGTCGAAAATCATTGTTGAAATCACCCGCAGCTATAGAGCATGGCGATAAAGATGATTGAATTGAATATGTTACTTGCTTTGTAAAAGAGAAATTGCCATATCCAAGAAAAATACCGATATTGTGGGTGCCTGTACTAGCAATAGCGATATCCATAAGATTATCGTTGTTAAAATCGTCAATTACTAACGACTGTGGTCGGGAACCATTTCCAGTAATGAGTGTTCTGTGTATTGCAAGAGCTGTACGGTGATAGCCAAGAAGGACACTCACATATGTGCTATACCAACCAGTGACAACGAGATCTGGTCGATTGTCGTTATTAAAATCACCAACAGCGACAAAGAATGCTTGAGAGTCAACCGAATATCTTGTTTCTTCTCCAAAAGAACCGTTCCCATATCCAAGAAGGACACTCACATCACTGCTATGAGCATTGGCGACAACAAGATCTAGTCGAGCATCTTTATTGATATCACCAACAGCGACATTAAATGGAAAAGAGCCAACTAAAGATATTGTTTCTTTTAGAAAAGAATCGTTCTTATATCCAAGCAGAACAGTCAAATCATTGCTATACGAATTGACGACGATGATATCTAGTCGATTATCGTTATTGACATCACTAACAGCGACAGATGTTGGATGAGAGCCAACTGAATATCTTGTTTGTTTTGCAAAAGAACCATTTCCATGTCCAAGAAGGACACTCACATTATCGCTTTCCCAATTGGCGACAACGATATCTAGTCGCGTGTCGTTGTTGAAATCACCAACAGCTACAGATTGTGGATTAGAGCCAACTAAATATCTTTTTTCGTCTGCAAAAGAACCATTGCCATATCCAAGAAGGACACTCACATCATCACTGTCCGAATTGGCGACAACGATATCTGGTCGGTTGTCGTTATTGAAATCACCAACAGCTACAGATAGTGGCCAGTTTCCAACCGAATAGCTCGTTTGTTTTGCAAAAGAACCATTGCCATATCCAAGAAGAACACTCACATCAGCGCCTGCGGAATTGGCGACCACGATATCTAGTCGATTGTCGTTATTAAAATCCCCAACAGCTACAGATCGTGGCCATTCCCCAACTGTATATCTTATTTCTTTTGTAAAAGAACCGTCCTCATATCCAAGAATGACACTCACATAATTCTCGACATTATTGGAGAGAACGATATCTAGTCGATTGTCGCTATTGAAATCACCAGTAGCGATAGATCTATGATCATGGCCAACTGAATATTTTTTTGCTGCTGAGAAAAAATAATTGTAGCTAACTAAGATATCTACCTTATCCATTCCATCATAAATGATGACTATATCCGATCGTTTATCATTATTAAAATCACCAGAAGCCATGGCTAACAAACGTGAATCCAAACTAATTCCTTTGCTTGTTCGAGATTCAAATGATCTGTTCCCGTTTCCAAGCAGCATATCTACATACATTCTATCATAGTCAGCAACAGCAATATCGACTATACTGTCACCATTAAAATCATCAATAGTAATTGAAGTCGGATGAGGATTCCAGCCATTACTAAGTATCATTTGATTTTCGAAATTACCATTTCCATATCCAAACAGGACACCTAGATTACCAGTACCGTAATTAGCCAAGACGATATCCAAAGAAGCATCATTATTCAAATCACCAACAACTATAAATTTGAGGCTAGATCCACCACCAGATGCGTAGGCCATTTTATATTCTATCCTTCCTCTGTTATATTGCAGCAGGATAATCACATCATGAGTCACATCTTCGGTGCACTTGGTGACAACGATATCTAGTCGAGTGTCGTTGTTGAAGTCACCAATAGCTACAGATATTGGATTAAAGCCAACTGAATACCTTGTTTCTTCTGCAAAAGAACCATTCCCATATCCAACAAGGAAACTCACAGCATTGCTACCCTTGTTGACGACAATGATATCTAGTTGATTATCGCTATTGAAATCACCAACAGTGAGAGATATTGGAGAAGAGCCAACCAAATATCTTTTTTCGTCTGCAAAAGAACCATTGCCATATCCAAGAAGGACACTCACATCATCGCTTTCGGCATTGGCAACAACGACATCTAGTCGATGGTCGTTATTAAAATCCCCAACAGCTACAGACATTGGCGATCTTCCAACTGAATAGCTTGTCTCGTTTGCAAATGAACCATTCTCATATCCAAGGAGAACAGTCAACGTATAGTTATAGTAATTGACGACAATGATATCTAGTCGGTTGTCGCTATTGAAATCACCAACAGTGACAAATGTTTGAAACGGGCCAACCGAATATCGTTTTTCTTTGGCAAAAGAACCATTCCCATGTCCAAGAAGGACACTCACACCATAGCCGAAATAATTGGCAACAACGATATCTAGTCGAGTATCGTTGTTGAAATCGCCAACTGCTACAGATCTTGGCTCTCTCCCAACTGAATACCTTATTTGTTCTGCAAAAGAATCATTCCCATATCCAAGAAGGACACTCACATCATTGCTACCCGCATTGGCAACAATGATATCTAGTTGAGTGTCGTTGTTGAAATCACCAACAACTACAGATAGTGGACGAGAGCCGGCTGAATACCTTGTTTGATTTTCAAAAGAACCATTTCCATTTCCAAGAAGGATACTCACATCATTGCTACCAGAATTGGCGACGACGATATCTAGTCGAGCGTCGTTATTGAAGTCTGCAACAGCTAGAGAAGATAAACAATTACCAGCTGAATATCTTTTTTCGTTTAAAAAGAGTTCATATTGGCCAAGAAGAATACTTATGCTAGCAGTATCATCGTTGACAACGACAATATCTAATCGATGATCCCTGTTCAGATCGCCTATTGCAAGTGAAACTGAAGAATAAGAGCCGGTTGAATACATAATCGGATTTTCAAAATCACCGTTTCCATATCCAAGAAGTATACCTACAGTTTTATTGCCGTTGTTGGTTATGACGATGTCTAATCGATTATCTTCGTTGATGTCTACAACGCCGATTCCATATGGAGAACCGGAACTGATGAAATAATTGGCTTGATTAGCAAAAGTTCTATTACCGTTGTTCAAAAGTACAACTACTTCATGAGTTCCGAAATTAGCAATAGCTATGTCGACAAATCCGTCGTCATTGAAATGGCCAACAGCGATTGAATATGGATGAGAACCTAATCCGGTTGAAAACGTGATTTGTTTTTCAAAAGTTCTGTTGCTATTTCCAAAAAGTATGCCAACATTGTTGGTGCCATAATTAGCGATGGCAAGGTCTAAGTAGTTGTCGTTATTGAAATCTCCAGCAGCTATTGAGGATGGAAGAGAATCATAACCTGTTGAATACGTAATTGAAAGTGAAAAATTTCCAGTGTGAGTTCTATAGAGTACGGTAATACTGTGAGTTCCATAATTGGCGGTGGCAATATCAAGTAGTGAGTCATTGTTGAAATCAGCGGTAATAATTGCTACTGGACGAGATGAGCCTGTTGAAAACTTACTCTGACTTAAGAAAGACCTATTTCCAAAACCATAAAAGACACCGATATTGTTAGTGCCGAAATTCGCTACTGCAATATCCAATCGGTTGTCACTGTTGAAATCAGCAACTGTGACCATGTATGGGCTAGAGTAGGAACCTGTTGAATATATGATTGGATTTCGAAAACTGCCATCACCATTTCCCAAATATACCGCTATGTTGTTGGCTATATGATTGGCAATAACCATATCCAAAACGGAGTCATTATCGAAATCGCTGATAGCGACAGATCGTGGACCATAATTATATTCAATTGGCTTTTGAGCCGTTGCTTTGAAATTGAGACTGCACTTTGGAGCTAAACGATACATGAACAAGAATGAGATGACTGATTGTTTGATACAGTAGAAGTATTCGTACTAGATTGTTTTGAGTTATCACAATTACTATCCTATTTTGTCAGTAGTTATCATATGACCCTGTTAAGGGACAGTATATAACCGTCATCTTTCCAAGGAACTCTGCTTAGTTTCTTGGAATTCAAATAAAGTTAAATATGGAAATTCTTCAACCAAGCGTCTTATCTCTTATCATGTTCTCATTTACTGCAGAATTCATTCAAAAACTGCGTTGTGCCACACTATTTCAGAATCAAACGAATATCAAAGCTGTTCTGTTGTGTAATGCTCTCAGTGATCCGATCAGTATTTTGGATTAGTAATTTAGACTAACAAACAGAATATTACAAAGTCTGCTACGAATGCTTGATAATAACAATGAACAAAATTGTGACACTTGAGATGCGAATGTGAATCTACTGACTGACTAATCATGCATGAAGACGACCTACCATAGTTAGTGTATTTGTCAGTAATTCCGTCATATGGACAACGCATGTTCACCGATAGTTTTTGCGTGACAAGCATGCAACTATTTATCTCTACTACTTTTCGTACAGTGAGCAATCAATGATTTCTATTGATCTTTTCAATCACAAATAGTGATAAATATTTTTCTCACTTTTATAATGTATATACAAAATTTTACTCTTTTGCATCATGGTAACGAAAATAATTCACTAGAATATGATAAAGATATGAGAACTCAGTGGTAAATATAACATAGAACATACATGAGTCACACAGAAAGACAAAAGTAAAACGATTGTATGTAAGCATACTAGCAGAACGAAAGAAGATATAAATGGAACACATATACTACTTAGTCTCGTCTGCAAGTAATATAAAGTGAGAAAATTTAAAGATGTGTTCTTTTGAAGGAGAAGTATCTACACTCGTCACGTTCCATGAGAAAATCGCCTGTATTTTCTATTATTCTTTCGCACTTCTACTATATCGCAAAATATGTTGATGAGATAGAGAAAGAGGCATCCAGGATAAGGTGCTGTTTCCATTCAGAGATGTGAAAGAATACCACCAAAAATAATAGAAAAAGTGATTCAAGAGCATTGAATTCGGTAAGATTCATTTTTCTGCAACAAGTACCAATGTGTAACATCAACTTGTAAAAAATCAGATTGTGAAATTTCTGTTTTATCGATGTATGGAAAAAAATATAGGAAACGCAATAATCTCTATTCTAGAGAAACTTCTTATTCTGCTTTCTTTAGAACAAAGTAGTACTGGGAAGATTCTTTCTGAAATTCTTTTCTAACCGATAGTCACTACCAATAAGTAAAATGAAAGGATCCGGCTCATGGAAAAAGCATTAGATCTTTCAGTGATGATCATCTCGATTGGTTCGCATTCGTCATTGTTACTTTAAAATGGAAAAGTAAAGCAATTTAATGTCTATGATCTGTCCTTGCTTGATGATTTGCTTCTGACATGTCGATATCACATATTTTATCACAATTCAAAGTTTTTTAACTAAAACTCATAAGACTGGTAAAACATAACCGAATTAACTATGGATTTTTATCGTATTGAATACGAAAAATACAAAGCAATAATTACGTACTTGAAGATTTCGGTGCGGTAAAACAAACTACCAGTATGCCTATGATCGTAAGTATACTTGTAATCATAGGTAACGCAAAGATAGGTTTGGGTATGAAACCCAACATTGACCAGTAACAAAATTTCCTAGAAAAGAGTAACTACGATGATATCTTACATAAAAAAGAAAAACTCATACATATTCTGTCGAAACGTATAAATTTTTATTCGATTGAGAATATCATTTTGAACGTTTCTTGCATTTTGGGCATTTAGAATTGTTTTGAGCTCCTCGTTTGTGTTGTCGAAAACAGTCGCTCTACGAGGGGTGTATTTGACCAATTTAACGTTATCATCCATAGAAGCCATTTCAATCTACAAGGAGACAGTAGTTAAGAAAGAACACGTACCTGGCATGAGCATATAAACATATCTCTAAATATGGAGAAGTTCTACAGAAAACTGTTCTTGCAGTATTTCTATTTAATCCATCCAGTCAATATACGTATTAAAATACAACTTTTCTGTGCCATCTCAACAATTTTTCAACTGTTAAATAAATGTGTTTGATATGTTGAAGAGACTGCACAAGGTATATGACGATAAAGTTATACTCGATGAAAACACTGTGCAGACACTGCAGCATATTAAAACGCTTATCAAAGCTATGGCGTATTTAGTTTTTATTGATTTTTGTCAAAACTAATACACAATAGTTTTTCTGTTTTCAATTCTCTTGCATAAATACTTTCAGATGGAAGACTTCAACATGTTTTCTAACAATATTTTTTAAAATAGTCTCTTGCAGAATTTCAGATCCGTCGAACCTTGATCAAGACATCACAATCGCCATTTTTAGAATTGTTACTTGGAGAAGTAAAACTTTCGTAGAATTTCTATGTATAAAAGTCATATCGAAGTTATTTCGTCCTCTTTTCGACATTTACAAAAAAATTATCAAAGTGAGATTAGTTTTGGAAGAAAATTATATTAAAGTATTCCAACTTAGAAAGTTTTTCTTCGTGGGGAAATGTGAGATTCTATTTGGGCTTATTACAGAAGACTACGAATATTGTCAATGCAAGCTATGTCCGGTTTTGTCTATATTTGAACATATTCGGACGAAATATGTTTGTTCGCAATCGGAATATTACGAACTGATAACTTTTTGACGAAACTATACCACTTTGAGACGAAATGGTTTAAGATAATTTCTGTTTTTTCACCTCTCTTCCAGAGTTGCGATTATTATAGATACTGTGTTCAATAAC